AAAAAAAAAACACGATGGAAAGAGTTCATGTTAGTCTGTAAGAAAATAAAAACAGTGGTAAAAATAGTGACGTTAAATTGAATTATGCAGAAGAATAATTTATTCTCAATAATAAGACGAAAAATAAAATCACAATTCTCCTTTGTGATCAAAATGCAGCATTCCCAGCTCTATCATCGTATTCATAATATCTTCTACGGATATACCAGTAGTTTTTGCGATGTCTGGAACAATAATTTCATTTTTATCATATTATACACTAAAACTAGACAGTTCCTAAAATGAAATCTAGCAATAAAAAATTATTACTTGGCATTCTAAAGACGCGAAATTGCACATGTCGAGATAGCAAGTAATCTAAATCTCAATATGTATGGCCTGAATAAAAAATTTTATCTTTCAAAAACACAAATCTAAGTATATAATATCCAAAACAATAATGGCAGAAACAAATAGACCTTCAATCGACAGAACGACATGATTTCTAGAACTAGGTCTTTTGAAATATTCAAGCACTGTGCTACGCCAATAACTCCTGTATGCCAAAATACCTAGATCTGACAGAGGTTTTTCCGGTGTTCCTGTTATTCCTTCGCGTCGAGACAAAAGAAAGCCTATATTTAGAAAGGCAATTAGTATTAAGAACTTGAAATTTTTGCGATTCAAAAGATTTGATAAATGAAGCATACTTTAAAATGTATTTCTGGCAATGAACATAACATAACAAAAAGATCTAAATATTACTGAAGTCGATTAAGAAGCGACCGTATCCTCTGTTTTGATAGGAAGGTAAAGTTAATATGCAAGAAAGATTGTTCTCGGAACTGAATTTTTGCTGAAATAAATTTTTGTACTTATAATCAAATGACAAAAGCTTTTTCTTCGGAACAATATTTGGATCCAACTTAGCCCACTGCACGGAACAATTTTCTATCGTTTTTGAAATGTCAGATTTTTCGAGTTACTATTACGAGCATAGTCTGTTTGATCGAAGATAGAGCTAATAGACATATATTGGAAATTACTTAAACAAAAAATTTTTCAGTATCTACAAATATAGAAAAATAAATTCAAATTGCCTAACCTTGCTAAAATAGCCAGCTACATGAAGACCAGTTAAGTCATGTACAGTTAAAACATAAAAGAGGAACGGTTCAACATCATAAAACAACGTCTTGTGATCGATGAAAAGCTTTGCTAAAAGGCATAAATTTTGGCTGTAGGCTTTAGATATATTACCATCAATCTGAAAGAAATTGTATGATCAGATTAACAAAGATCAAAAAACGCTTATGACATTTCTCAGAGAAACTAGATAGAAATGTAATGAAACATTTCGTTCAGGTTACAGTTTGGAGACAAATAAGTTGATTCAGGCAATGTATTTTATAATGCTACAAACATAAACAAATTAATAAACTTACTTCGAAAACTGAAACACTGTCCTGGCGAAAAATTTCATTACCTGGTGGATGATTGATGTAACATTTGCTCTGCAAACTTTTGAAATTAAAGTAAATTAGCAAAAAAAATAAGCTCAAACTAGTTTCACACAAAGAACTAGAACTAGAAATTCGGAGTAAAAAAGAGCTAATAGTAGGTAGATTATATAACATGCAATTCAAAAAAGTTGAACTAACCAAATGCCTTTCCAGCGTTTTCTTGCACTCTTTGAAATCCAGACATTTTTCACAGATATAAATATGACCTTTTTTAACAAGCTCCAAAGGTAATGGTGACATATATAGTGGTTCGAGAACGAAATTACCAATAGTTATCGTATGTATTCGTGGTAATACGAAATCGTATGATAAATCCTTTGATAAAACAAAATGTCCATGAATTTTCAGACAATGTTAGTGATTCGTTAATTTTTTTTCATATTGTTTTAATGAGTAATAAGTAAAAATTAGATCACTAAAGTGTTAAATGAAACAACTGTATAGGAAGGATATTGCTTAAGATAACCGAATAAATAGAAATCAAGCGTGAAAATTATTTTTTTCAGTTATTAACAATGAAAGATTGAATATAGTTACAAATTTTGATCTTATATATATGACATACTGTATTTGAGAATTCCTTTGGTCCACGTTTTTTTCTTGAAGTTCCTATACGTTTAGATTTTTTTTCTTTACTTACGCCTCGTTTAAATGTTTCTTTATCTGATGAGTCATTGCTTTTCTGAAAGGAATTTACATAATCAGGATATGAAGAGTTATAAAATAAGAAATGCATGTTTAACTAATGCCAAATTATCTCAAGTAAGGGCTCTTACTAGGTTTATTGAAGAACTATCAATTGAGTAATCAAATGTTTCTTCATTTCCTAGAGTAATTCCGGTGACTGGCATAGATGCTTCTGTACCAATGGGTGGTGACTTTGCGACTAGTGGTAAATCATTCAGAAAATTATTCGATTCACCATTTCTTGCCTTATTCTTCTTGTTATTCTGGATATATGATTTTCTTTATGCTTTCACAATGAACGCAACATCCGGTCACATATATACGACATATTGTATATATGAGAGTAAATACACACAAAAATAGAGGATCTAGGCGAGAAATTCTGGCCAAAATTGAATATACTTAATTTCAAACGCACATACAGAAAAACAACTACCTTTAGATTTTCACTTTCCTGACTACGTATGTCGTTCCTACCACAATGCCTGCAAATATGGAAAACTATTACAAGAATAAGCTGGAAATAACTTCGACATAAGTTAGATGTATCTAATATTAAAAATGATTACATAAACTATTACAGGTGAGGAGAAAAAAGTAATAGAAAGACGAAACTTGGAAAAAAAATGCAAACTTTAGAAAAGATGCTACTCATTTTTATTAGGAAGCACCTTTTCTAGAATTTGCAACTCCTGCAACTATTATTTTAACTTCTGCTATTTGTTTATTCCAAATTCAGATCACAAAACAGATACTTGAGTAATTTTTCTTCGTTCTTTTACCTCAGTTCTCGACTTTTATGCAACAAGTACTTACTCATTCACTGTTCCACTGATGCCGCCACCCTTGAGAATTCTTTTGAAAAACGGTGATGAACCCCTAGAAAGTCTTCGAGACTGAAACGACTTTGATGAGGCAACACTGAGATGCTTTCGAGAATGTAATGACTTCGATGTTGCAACACTGCATTGTCTACGAGAATGCAATGATTTTGGTGTTGTGCCATGAGAATGTCTTCGAAATTGTGATTTTCGACGTCGATACAAAGTACAAGATTGCTCCTTTTCTGGACAATAAGTTGGATCATTCAAAGATGAGTTCGAACTTACTGCCTGAAAATAAAATGACTAATTCTGAATAGGTTTTATTTGTTTATAGGATGTGGTGCTTTGTTACGAATTATACCTAGTCTAATTTTTTAATTCTACACAAGCCATCAAGAAGCAAAGCAAACCTCTTCATCAGAAGCTCTGCATGCGTCATCATCGGAAGTGATAGGTTTCCAGAAATTTTCTAGAATTGTCCGCCTTCCATTGTTCACTTTTAGCTTTCTTTTCATCGATCCCCTTCACTACAAAAGTTTTCGGTCCTTTAAAATGTATCGTTTGGTTAGTTTAAAGTAAAATCAAAATGAAACTACCATGCCCTACAGTATGAAAAACTAATGACCAATATTATACATAATTTGCATAAAACCACATTACTTTCTTCAGGCTGAAAATAATGAGTGTCGGTATGAAAATTTGCGTATCATTCAATGGTAAAACTAAGCATTGAAAAAAAGGCATGATGCATTTTGCATATTGCTAAAAATTTTCAATTTTGGTCTTTGCTGCATAAATAATTCTGAAAGTACTTGCAGTTTTGTTTATTAAATAAAGCAAATTAGAGAAAGCATTTCAAGTGTTGTGTTAAGGCAAATTAAACAATTTTGAAAGCCAATGTACGGTTTTCCTTTGCTTTAATAGAGAAAGTACACGTAAAATCACACGACAGTTAAAAAGCGTAAACATTTTAATTTACGTGCAGAAAGTATTCTCTATCGATCTTACGTACCTTTTGCCTTAATTTTTTTAAGTAAAGAAGTAAAGAACATACTAGAATAGATAATTTTTTCACGTCTTTTTTTGTTTTGATAGAATTTTTCTTGAAATGGTGTCAAAATTTGCATTTCCGTGTAGAAAAATCCTTACAGACACGCATAGAAGATCAGGTATTTATTACGAAGTGATTTTTCATTTGATTAAACTAAATTTTTCTGCATTTAAACTGATTTTTCCAACAACATTCCATCGTTTCTCAGTCATTTATTTATTTGTTCGCTTTCTTCGTCTACAATATCCTATGCCACGCAGTTCTTAATCATATAGTTTAGACTGCGATACCTGATAAAGAATCAATCACTGAGTTGATAATATATGCGACCGATTGATAATCAGTACTTGCAGATATGCTTTTATCCAAATATTGGTCCCAGAATGAAATAAATACTGGCTAATGTTAATTTTGAACTTTTAGCATAAACTGCAGTTCTTTCTTAAGTCTTAATCTAATTTTTTTGATCTATATTTTAAGATAATAAACTACTTTCTTTTATATATCAACTTTAGTTATTGCACAGTAAAGTCTGCTAGAAATTATGCCAAAGATAAAGACAGGTAAAGATCACGAACATAAGTTGGCAATTTTGCAAATAACGTACGAATATAGATCCGAGTTTAAATTGCTCACAAATTTGGCTGCAAAATGCATCACGTTTTTACGTTGTAAACAATTCATGCTCAAAAACGCATTTTGTATTATTTTCTATGCAAACTTTTGTCACATTGATTCTTAATTTTAGCTAATCTCTGCTCCATTCTATTTCATTTGAATAATACGAATAATGTCAGTGACTACTTCGTTCTTTTTGCATAAATTAACTTTTGTTTCTAATATAATCTGTACTGTTTCTTCACGAAATTTTATAGTGTGATGAGTAAAACATTTATAAATCACCCCGCCATGTAAGACGTAAATTTAAGTAAATTTATTTAGCCAATTTAAGTATTTTTTTTTTGGTTTTTTAATTCGAATAGATTGAAAGCACTCATTTTTGAATGTACAAAGTAAAAATGTTTTGTCGATAGTCTATTTGCATTCCCAAAATTCATCAAAAACAAATATGAAACAGAATTTATTCATTTGAAACACACAGTGTAATGACTTCTAATGTTCTAAGATGAAAGTTTTAATATTTGTGACATTTCACATTTTACTTTACAAAGTACTATAGTATAGTGATTATTTATTGATTCTAAGTGAAAGCCATCATATTTGTTGAAATTTGTTAATCAGAATTTCGAATCACATAGAAATTCTGCGGGATATTTTATTTCCTACCAATACTTTTTTGCTAGACCCTGTATTTACTCTCTCACTTTTCTTAGTTGAGCAACGTGAATGTGGAGTTTCTCCGATAGAAAGCGATGAAGCATCCTCACTTGACGTGTTTTGCAGGTCATCATCGATGTGGACTGCAGTTTGAATCCCACTTTCATCAGCGTTAAAATTCTAAAGCAAAGTAAAGTAAATAAGAACTAACTGAATAGCATCAGTAATTTGCTCATATGCAAACTGTTAGGATATCAACAAGACAGTATTTTTTGGTATTCGCCAAAACTATTTCCATAGCGCAAAATTTTTTTTGACATATTTTTGCGGTTTAGTTTATTTGTTAAGAATGCTAATGAGTTTCTGTCTCCCTAGCAGAACTTTTGAGAAAGACATTACTTATCATCAAAATGAAAATTCACTTATAACTAGTGCAACTTGTGAAGTATTCGTAAAAAATTAGCTAATAAATATAAATAACTCATAGTTTACCCGGATGATATCTTCTAAATATTCTCGAGTCTCTTTTGCTGATGGTCGTTTTGATGGGTCTTGATCCCAGCACCGACGCATTAGAGTTATGATTGATTCTGGCATATCATCAGGACTTCGTAATCGATAGCCAGCCATTACCTTTAAATGTAATGATTGCCTAATTTTGCTATTATCGAGCTTAGTTGTCAAGTTACGCAAAAACATTCTCCTTAAATCCAATTTCCAGAACAGTATAGACAGTTATTTGACATTACTAATGTGGCTGATTGATTAGACCAGAACATAACTGCTATTACTTATGTTTTTATTCTAATTATTGCGAGATCCAAAAAAACTGAATAATATCTGAATAACATTAATAAGCTTTTTTTCAGAAGTAGTATTAATATGCTAATGAAAATTTTCACCAATAAAAAATTCATTGAAAGCAAAATTAACTGCTTGCTCGGACAATTTAAGAAGCTTAAAAATTACTCTTTCTTTGACTTTATACGCTTTCCAAAAACTGTAAGGATGAGTGTAAGGTATTGTAAATAATTCCCAAAGTGTAATACCGAAAGCAAATATGTCTGTACAAAATCGAGTCTCGCCTGAGCGCCATACCTAAATTGAGCTTTTTTAGTTTACGTGAAAAACTTGTAAGAAAACTATTTTGAATGTAGTTTTCTTAAAAACGCAGAGGTTTATATATCATATATATAGTTTATATATTTCATATGCTTTTCTTAAGTCAAAAAATGAAAAAATACTTTTTATAACAATTTTCTATTATTTAATTTAAAAAAGTAAGATGCTACTTATATTTGTATATGAACCTCAGGTGCAAGCCACCGAACATTTTGTGGTTTTGACAAATCAATTTTATAAACAAGCGTTGCACGACACATGCCAAAGTCTGCCAACTTAACAACCGTTCCATGGAGAAGACAGTTGCGAGTTGCGATATCTCTTAAATTAGCGAAGTATTAATAATAAGTAGTAGTAACGTAGTAAAATTAATGAATACGGTATTGCTGATTTCAACAATATTAGTGTCAACAATTTTAACATAACATTCCACTCAGCGAAGCTAGTATTAATTGGAAATAAATTCTTCAAGGAAATAAAAATTAAGTTCTCATTAATTTTATTATAAAAATATTTTTTTTTAATTCCCAAAACAAATAATGCCTTGAAATTTAAAAGCAGTAATTAATTTTCTGACTAATTTTACATATCTAAACTTTTTATTTTGACTCATATACAACTATTAATGATTTCTGGTACACAATATGATATTAATGACTTTTTAAGTAATTCTATACTCTTACCGGTGAATACAACCTTTCTGATGTAAATATTCAAGGCCACGAGAAACCTGACATGCGATATCAACTCGAGACGATATACTTAAACGACGACCATACTCTCTTAATTTATCTTCTACTGAACCATCCTTGAAATTCACTGCTTAATTAAATTTGTTTTATTATTGAGTATTTCAGATATTTTGATCTAAAAATCTGAATCTATGAAAGCTCTGGTATAAGTTTCAAACGTTTCAGTACGTGCTTAAAACCATTAACTTTAGTAGGAATAACATTTCTTTACAATTCTAAGAATTAATAGTTCTCAAATAGATTTTAAATAACGATTAATTTGCTTGCATTAAAAATGTTTGAAAAGCATTGAGACAGTATACTTTGCAATATTCCATAACAAGCAAAAATGGTTCTCGATCGACGATGAAACCATAGAATTTAACAACATTAACATGATCATAAAGCTGCATGACCCGAGCTTCCTTCATCAGATCAATCAAGCCTTGTTCTGATTTATCCGTGCAATCAATTCGTTTGATTGCTACTGGACAAAGATTCTTTAGTAATATACCTTTGTAAACAGTACCGTATGCGCCAAAACCAATCTAAATTAGTATCAAAATTAGAATCGCTTTATTTTAACTACTCAAAATGAAATAAATAAATTATTTAGAAACTTCAAAAGTTATTTTTGTTTAGCAAAAAACAGTTTTTGCATCTTTTCTCGTTTGCATATTTTCATGAGTGTAAGTGAACCTTTTTTATGATTTTGATATCAGAATGATTTAATTGAAATCTTCCTTTATTAATTGGCCGCTTCAAAAATAACATATCTGCTCCATACATTTCGATACGATGATCTTGATGATATGTTACTAGAGCTCTTATTGTCGGAAATGAATGTCCCTATGGCAAAGGTTAATCTCAAAATAATAAAGTCAAGTGTCATTCCAGTTTCCTTCTGCTGTACTGGAAATTTCTTGTAACGGAAAAAGCATTATTTTAAATATTCAATCAATAATTTAGTGTAATGAAAGCAAATTTTTTATACAACAAAAACAATGAAAATGAAGAAAAATCCATTTTGTATTGCATACATTGAATATATTTTGGTACTAAAACTAAAAGATTTTTGAAGTAGCAAAAACTTACAAGCATGCGATAACCTTTGCTAACTTTTGAAATTGGTATTCGAATAGTTCGTTGCGAATGTTTCACCGCTAGCACTAATTTCTTCTTCTTTTTCCCTGGTTCAATCTTGGTTTGTATTAGAAAATCGCCATCCAATTCAAGTAGTTTATCCACATCTTCATCCAGTAAAGCACCATGGAAATATGGTAATAAATTCTCCTTGAACATCAATTCCTGCTAATCCTATAATAATCCTTCATTATTGTTATACTTGATAAGATACAC